AACATTGATTTCTGGTCCAAATTGTGGATTGTGGAGTGTGGACACCCCGCTCTTGTTGATGGAATTATCCAAAAGTTCAAAATTGTTTGTGTCAATTTTCTCCAAAGATCAAACATTTCGTACGAGTTTGACTTAAAAAAAAAAACACTTTGTACAATTGAATACTTGAGTAAGCATCTCATCTCTGGTGCCATGAGGCCCATAACATGCTGTTCTCGTCCCCAGATAGCTTTGCTTCCACACTTCATATCCTTTTCAATTTAATAAAGAAGAATTGATACTGAAAATGTTCTTTAAAAAGAGTGTTTAGATTGCATTTTGAGCGTAAAAGCTATTGTAGAGAAAATTTTGTTCGAAATATACACACCATCTCATGCAGTGTTATTGTTCAGCAATTGTTTGATAAGTCAAAGTAAACTTACTTTGTCTTGGTCAGACAGAGAAGTTGTTCCATGCATCTTACGCTCAAAGAAGTATCAGATAAATAGATAGTGATGCTAGGCTACTAGTTCGATCAGTCAACACTCAAAATAGCCGCCAGTCAACAACATTATTGGTTGGACTTGGTTACATTAAGTAGTTGAAGAACCAATTATTTTAGATTCTCTGCTTGGCTGAACACCATTATGAAGGAATATCTCACACAATATTCTTATAGGTTGGTAAAACTCGTTTTGACATTTGAGAGGAAAATTCTGTCATAACTAAGTACAATTCGGTGAGGGAGCAAACAAATGTTTGGTAGCGTTCAGAGCCAAACTTGTATAAACGGTATGGAGATTGACAATGCCTCTCGATGAAAATTTCAGCCAATTTAGCACTTCATATACTTATAGAAAAGACCAGTATCATTTTGTGGGACTATTTGGTAAACAAGTTTTCGGTCAAGTTTGTTTGTTACAAATTTTTTAACAATTTTAATTACAATAATCTCAAAAAACTTCTAAAAGTTTTTAAACTATACATTTCAAAATATTCAAAAATTTACACACTTCAAAAATTTTTCCTACAACTTCTACAGTAAGTTACAGTAAAGATAAGTTTTTTGCCAAGTTTGTCTGTTACAAGTTTTTTAAAAATTTTAGCTACAGTAACCTCAAAAAAATTTTCAAAATTTTTAAACTATACACTTTAAATTATTAAAAAAAAACACACACACTTCAAAAAAATTTTAAAAAACTTCTACAGTAAGTTACAACAAAGTTTTAAACAAACATCTAAAAAACTCACCTGCCAAACGGGGTAAAAGTTTTAGACAAACAATTAAAAAACTCATTTGTCAAACTGGACCTGTATTCTGTTGGGCAGTGAAAACCTCACTGAGTAAATATTTCCTTCACATAAACAACACTATATGTTGTCCAACAGTATTTCATTTCTATCTTTTGATATGTGGAAAAAAGTAAATATGAAATAATTTGCTTACCTGGCAATTTCACAAAATCAACTTAGAAGAGGTTAAGGCTACATTAGAAGTACAAAAATTATGTTCAACTTCTCACTAAACCTACTTTAGAATTTGAGATGCCATCCGTTTTTATATAATTTAGCTAAGATCCATTGGTATTTTCTTACACCAAAAGGAAGTCCTTGAAAATTACTGTATAGATCTTACAAAGTTTGACAAACTAGCAACAGGCAGCACAAGGGTAGACTTGATTCAGTTAGTTAAAATAATTAATCGAACAAGTAGCACGGAAACTATCTTTCAGTACAAGAGATCATTGAAAATGAAGATTATCTAAAAAATAAAGTTCATGTCATACTTTGCAGTAAAAGCTCTGAGCTTTAATTATTCTTTATTTGTGAACATGTCACATTCTGAAATGCTGCTAGAAGTATACACCAATAGCAACTTTGTTGGAGAAATACTACAATGAGCATTTTTTGTCGAACACATTTTTGTTATCTTAGTCTTTACCACCAACCAACTTTTGGTCAAAATCAACCAAGTTAAAGTAACCCAAAATCTAGATTACTTTAGCCATTCAATCACGAGGGAAAAATTCTCATCAACTCTTTTTTTTTTTTTTTTTTTGAATTCTCAACAACTCTAGTTACTACTAGAGGAAAATGGCTGTGCCTTGCACAGCTTAGGCCCTCCAAGAAGTTTAGCTAAAAAGTTGTAATTCTTTTGGTACATAATGAATAGACATATAGAAGCAAAAAAAGAGCTAGAAATTTATTGAAGTTTGTTATGATGAAATATTCCATCTATGAAGTGAGTTCCTAATTATTATGATATAAATAATAAGAGATTTTTGAACCCTTGTTGCATGTAATAATGACAACTAACCAGGTGAAAAAGTAAACATATTATTTTTGTGAATTTTTTGCAAGTATGATTATGCATAAACATTAAGATTAATATGTATTATGGTACCTTCCTAATAGGTTCTCTTGATTCTATTTGGTATTTTGGATCCATGAATTATTGCCTATTTGGTGGGATAAATTCCTTAAAACATCACATTATCAAACCAAACAACCCATATAGGTTTAATATTCTGGGCTCAAAAGAAAGTGGAGGTTATACAATTTACATAGAGTGGATTTAGTGAAAAAAGATGGAAAATCATTAAGGTAGCCATCAATACTGCTACTATTTGCTAAAAGGGGAGGTGCGTCATAAAGATAGGCTATTACATTACTTACTTGCACTATCTCTTTATTGTATAGGTACTTAGTCCAACAAATTATTGAGCTAATCTCTGAATTGGATTGGTTGTAAAATCATACAACTTATGACAGTTGTCTACTTAAATTCGTTTTCACTTTTGTCAATTGTCACTATGGTTAGTAGAAAAATTACAAGCTTTTACGTAGTAGAAAACACTGTTAGAGGACAATAAAGAAAGGATTGGACATGAAAGTATCTCACACACCTAATATGTGGTCACTAGATCGGTGGGGAGGGGCAAAGGGGTGGAGTGACGGAGGGGATGGCAGGGGAAAGGGGCAAGGAGGAGGAAGGGGTAAGGGAAGGGAGTGGAGGGGAAGAGGAAGAAGGGAGGAGAGAGAGATAGAGAGGAGAATGAAAGAAGAGGAAACAAAAAAAGGAGCTGTCGACAATGGTGTCAGCTAGACGTGGCAATTTGGATTGAAATCCATTTATCCATCTATATAATCCATAATTAAATGGATTTGGATTATCTATTTATGGTATTGGTTTTAAATGGTTGACCCAAATAAAACCATTAAATTAAATGGATTTATATGGATTATCCACAAAAACCACATATATCCATTTCCCTAAAAACCAAATAAAAGAAACGGATAGATCCCTCTAACTAGAACCAACTGGGAATGAAGGACCACATGTGACAGCTGTTGAATGAAGGATTGAGTGGGAAAATCTTAACAACTTAAACATAACTAATTTCCAACGCCCTTTGCACGCTGAAGACTTGGGGCATGTGGTTGTTAAACACACTGTCAGCCGCTAATGACTGAAGTAATGGGGATAGCAAGGAGGAAGAAGAAGAGAGGAGAAAAAAAGAAAAAATAATAATAAAAAAAAGGAAAAAAATTTCAATTTTTTCGCAAATTTTTTTTACAACTTCCACGGTAAATTATAATAAAGTTTTATACAAATATCCAAAAAACTCACTATCCAAATGGCTTTGATTTGCTTTGATGCATTTAAGTTCACATGGCTATGCCTGGTAGTAACACGAAACGTTTAAGATTTTTCCTGTCAAGCCACTCTTCGATTTGTCTTCTTTACTATCTAAAATTACGTTTTAAAACTTAAACCAGACAATGACTTGACCAACCTCAAGGGTCAGATATCAAGGAATTCGATAGAAATCGGCCCGGTCCAAGAGCTGGATGACATCATCATAATATCATAAATGCATAAATTAATTTTATTTGAGTGAATAACATAGAAAAATGACTATAAATATAGTAGTAATTCATTTTCACCATCATACCCACTAACCCATCAAGTTCATAACAAGATAACTTAATTGTAAACTCAACAAATGATAAATTAATATGAACTACTTAATAAGAATTTTAAATAAAGCAAAAAAAAATCAAGTTTTTTAATTAATTGGTTAATGCTTTTAAGATTCAAATGCACATTGTAAATTTTTCAAGGGGATGAACAAATTGAGACTCATTTGTAAAAGTATAAGGGTCACAGTTACACATAGAAGTTTGGAAGTGTATTTACGATTATTTAAAACATTAGGGAGTTAAAACCAAATATTCAAAAAGTTTCAAACTCGAAAAGCAACATCCTGTTATCCTTCGTCTTCTCAGCGTTCATCTCCCCATTCGTCTTCAGCAACTTCAGGCGACGGTTCCCGGCTTCCAGCCTTCCTCATCATTGTTATCCATTTTTTTTTTTTTTTGAAGATTTGTGTAATGAAGTAGGAAAATAAAGGAGTAAAGGCGTGAAGTGGCAACAAAGGAAAGCACGATCAAGCAGAGAGGAAAGAAGAGAAGACGTGGATTAAAGAATTCAGACAACAAGTGGACACGAAGTAAATGAAGGCGTGATAGCAAAAAGGGAGAAGGCGCCAGGAGACAGCAAAGGCGCGAGCAAGGAAGCACGCTCATTCTGGGTTCACGTCCTTCTTGCTGCAAGTGGACAGGAGGATCTAGAAGATTCACTCACACGCAATATCTATGTCATTAGCTAGTGGGCAAGTTAGTTAGGATAGATTACTATAAATATTACGATCATGCAATTGTTATTGGTAGAGAAAATTCCTGAATTGTAATCAGAAGGAGAATATCCTTTCTGTTATTCTTTCTTTAAGTTTTTCCTGCATTCTTTCTCATCTTCTTCTTTTTTCCCGCCAATTTCCTTTTCTGTAAGAAAGTTGAAGTTGTTCAATAAAAGTCCAATTGTTTCCTGGAATCCATTCAGCTTGAGTATAATTCGTGTTCTTATCAATTGAGCACATTTCAGATACATTCCTCACCAAACACCATTTTAGGTTCTGTATCACAACAGTGGTATCAGAGCTGCGTTGCGAGCCATAGGGATGACAAAAAACCAGGACGAAAATCTGAGAAGAGAGGTTGTGGAATTAGGGAGTGTGGTCAGGACCTTCGCCAACAAAAGTGAGGGAGTAGAACAGGCCATGAGGTCAATGGAGTTTAGACAGGATGCTACTGAAAAACTGCTGAAAGGATTGGATCAGAAGTATGAGGGCCTGATGAACATGATGGCTCAGTTGGTGGCCAAGATCAGTGACCAGGGAAAGGAACCAGAAGGCAGTAGCAGTTCAAAAAAGGATGATCGATCAAATGAATCCAGGATGGAGCCACAAAAAGAAGCAGGTAGTAGGAGAGAGGCCAGAGTCCATGGTAGATTGCCAAAAATGGATCTGCCAATTTTTTATGGAGACAATCCAAGGGAGTGGATCAGGAAGGCTAACAAGTATTTCAAGCTACACGAGATAGAGGAGGACTTGAAGGCTGAGGTTGCTGAACTCTATTTCAGAGACAGAGCAGACATATGGTTCCATGGAGTTTTTCATGGAAGGGAGGCTATTCCCTGGTCAGAATTATCCACTGCTCTATGCATCAGATTTGGAGAGGGAAGTCCAGAAGAGGCCATCGAAGAATTCAATAAACTGGTGCATGCAGGATCTGTGGCTGAATACTTGGAGAAATTTGAGATGCTCAAAGCCCTGGTAATGCCTTCTCTACCTCACTTGTCTGATTCATATTATAAGGCATGTTTTATGAGTGGACTGAAAGAGGAAATAGTTAATATGGTGAAAATATCTAAACCTGAAACCTTAGCTGTTGCCATTGAAATAGCAAAACTCCAAGAAAAGAACCTCAAAGCAATCCAAAAAATGCAGAAACCTGTCAATACCAGTTTCAATAGCCAAAAAATCCACAGCAAAAATACACCCCACACCAAATGGAACCAAAACTACCCCAAACACACCAACAAACCCCCTGATCAGCACACTTCCAACCAGAACTTTTTTAAAAAAATAACTCCCACAGAATACAATCACAGGAGGGAAAAGGGGCTATGTTATAAATGTGCAGAACCTTATACCTTGGGGCATGTTTGCAAACAAGCCCATGCACATTTACTGTTGGCTGATGAGGATGAAGACATGGAGAGGGGTAGGGAACCAGAGGAGGAAGTTTTCTATGACTGCATTAATGGAGGTCTGGCAGGGGAACACATAGAAGTATCAATTCATGCCTTGGCAGGAGGAGCAAGGCACAAAACGATAAGGCTGAGGGGTTATGTTAAGGGAAGGCAAGTCACTGCACTGATTGATAGTGGTAGTACCCATTGCTTCTTGGATGAGCAGCTGGCAAAGGAGTTGAAACTGTGTACACAGGGGCCAACTTTGGTAGTCAATGTGGCTAATGGTGAGAAGGTGGACTCCAAGGGACTGGATAAACCTATGCAGTGGGAAATGCAAGGGCATCAGTTCCAACATACCTTCAACACTCTGAGGTTGGGGGGATGTGACATGATACTGGGGGTGGATTGGTTAGCCAAACACAGCCCTATAGAGTTCAATTTCATGGAACTCAGTATGAAGATCCTCAAGGGGAAGCAAGAAATAATACTGAAGGGGGAGGAGATCAGCACCAAGTTGGAGATACTCAAAGGAGGCAGGCTAGCAAAATGGCTAAGGAAGCAGGAATATGGGGCAGTAGCACAACTGGTGACAGTGGGGAAGGAGGAAAGACCAGGACAGATACCCACTGAAATCAACCATGTGCTAGATCAATACAAGGATGTCTTTGAAGAACCAAAAGGGATGCCTCCAACAAGGAGCCATGATCACCAGATTGTCCTCAAGGAGGGAGCCAGGCCCTTCCAGGTGAGGCCATACAGGTGCCCCTACGTGCAGAAGTCAGAAATTGAGAAGTTGGTGAAGGAAATGCTGGAACTAGGCATCATACAACCCAGCAGCAGCCCATTTGCTTCCCCAGTGCTACTGGTTAAGAAAAAAGATAGGACATGGAGGTTCTGTGTAGACTACAGGCAGTTGAATGAGCTGACAGTGAAGAACAAATTTTCCATGCCCCTGATCGAAGAGTTAATAGATGAACTGCATGGGGCTAAGTATTTCACAAAAATGGATCTAAGGGCAGGATACTTTCAAATCAGGGTCAAAGTGGAAGACATACCAAAAACAGCTTTCAGGACTCATCAAGGACTCTATGAATTCAAGGTCATGCCATTTGGCTTGACCAATGCCCCGCAACCTTCCAGAGCCTGATGAATCAGGTCTTCCAGGAACAGATGAGGAAACATGTGCTGGTGTTCTTTGATGACATTCTGGTCTACAGCCCCACACTGGAGATACATGTGAAGCATGTGACTGAGGTAATGAGTATTCTGAGGCAACACCAGTTATTTGCTAAAATGAGTAAATGTTATTTTGCTCAGCTACAGGTGAAATATTTAGGACACATCATTTCAGCAGAGGGAGTACAGGCTGACCCTGAGAAGATAGAAGGCATGAAAAACTGGACAAGACCATCCAACATCAAGCAACTAAGGGAATTTTTGGGCCTAACAGGGTACTATAGGAGATTTGTCAAAGGGTATGGGGCTATAGCCAGACCCCTGACAGACCTGCTCAAGAAGGACAACTTCCACTGGAGTGAAGACACAGAGCAAGCTTTCCAGCAACTGAAGGAGGCCATGTGTAGCACCCCAGTTCTAGCAGTACCTGACTTCACACAGCCATTCATTATTGAGACTGATGCATGCTACACTGGCATAGGAGCTGTGCTAATGCAGAATAGAAGACCTATCTCCTACCTCAGTCAAGCTCTGGGACAGAAAAACATGGGGTTATCAATCTATGAAAAAGAACTACTGGCCTTGGTGACAGCTGTGATCAAATGGAGGCACTACTTAGAAGGACACCATTTCATCATACATACTGACCATCAAAGCCTGAAGTATCTCCTGGAGCAGAGGATCACTACCCACTCCAACAGAAATGGCTCACTAAATTGTTGGGGTTGAGCTACGAGATCCATTACAAAAAAGGTAAGGATAACCTGGCTGCTGATGCACTGTCTAGACAGGGCAGGGAAGAAATAGGGGAGTGCACAGCTATATCATGTGCAGTGCCAACCTGGGTGCAGGAGGTGATAGAGAGTTACAAAGGGGATGAATGGACTCAGAAGACCATAGCTCTGGTGTTATTGACTCCCACACTAGCACCTGACTACTCATACCAGGATGGCATTCTCAGGTTCAAGAAGAGGCTAGTAGTAGGGGGCCAAGGTGATACCAGGAGGAAGTTAATTACTGCACTACACGATTCCCAAATTGGAGGACACTCAGGCATTCAGGCCAGCTACATGAGGGCCAAACAGCTATTTTATTGGCCAGGGATGTACCAGGAAATCAAGAAGGCAGTCCTAGAGTGTGATACCTGCAGAAAATGTAAAGATGAACATGTGGCTTACCCAGGATTGCTGCAGCCACTTCCTATTCCCCAACACTCATGGAGCCACATTTCTATGGATTTTGTTGAAGGACTACCACAATCAGAAGGAAGGAATACTATTATGGTGGTGGTAGATAGGTTTACCAAGTATGCACACTTTATCAGTTTATCCCATCCTTTTGATGCTCCAAAGGTGGCCAGACTCTTCATTGATTACATCAGTAAACTACATGGCATTCCCCAAAGCATGCTCTCAGACAGAGACAGGATTTTTGTCAGTAAATTCTGGGAAGAACTATTCAATTCATTGGGGACCAAATTGAACTACAGCACAGCTTATCACCCTCAGACTGATGGTCAGACTGAGAGGGTGAACCAGGTGCTCGAAATGTACCTCAGGTGCCTGACTCATTTGGAACCAAAAAAGTGGAATCAGTGGTTATCTCTGGCAGAATGGTGGTACAACACTTCTCACCACACTGCCATCCAAATGACTCCTTTTGAGGCTCTATATGGTCTAGCCCCTCCCCAATTGGCTCTGGGACCTTACCTGCAATCCAGGGTAGCTGCAGTAGGAGAATACCTCAGAGAAAGGCAACAAATGGATAACATGCTGAAACAGAATTTGAAGCAGGCTCAGGAGAGAATGAAAAGGTATGCTGATGAGAAGAGGAGTGAACGAGAATTTTGTAAAGGAGATTGGGTGTATCTACGGTTGCAACCATACAGACAGAGCTCTGTGGCTCTGAGAGGGAACACCAAGTTATCAGCAAGGTACTTTGGCCCTTACAGAGTGGAGGAAAGAATAGGAAATGTAGCCTATAGACTGGAACTGCCAAGCTCTTCAAAGGTACACCCTGTCTTCCATGTGTCGTTGCTCAAAAGAAAGGTGGGAGACAAGATCACCCCCACCCTCCATTTACCAGAAACAAATGAAAAGGGTCATTGGAGAGTGGAGCCTATTGCCATACTGGATAGAAAAATGGTGAAGAAAAAAAATGCAGCTGCCACTCAGTGGCTAGTCCACTGGTGGGGTACGGACCCTGCAGAAGCTACATGGGAGGATGCTGAGGAGATCGAAAGACAATTCCCTACCTTCCAACCTTGAGGTCAAGGTTTGCTGTGGAGGGGAAGGTATTGTAATGAAGTAGGAAAATAAAGGAGTAAAGGCGTGAAGTGGCAACAAAGGAAAGCGCGATCAAGCAGAGAGGAAAGAAGAGAAGACGTGGATTAAAGAATTCAGACAACAAGTGGACACGAAGTAAATGAAGGCGTGATAGCAAAAAGGGAGAAGGCGCCAGGAGACAGCAAAGGCGCGAGCAAGGAAGCACGCTCATTCTAGGTTCACGTCCTTCTTGCTGCAAGTGGACAGGAGGATCTAGAAGATTCACTCACACGCAATATCTATGTCATTAGCTAGTGGGCAAGTTAGTTAGGATAGATTACTATAAATATTACGATCATGCAATTGTTATTGGTAGAGAAAATTCCTGAATTGTAATCAGAAGGAGAATATCCTTTCTGTTATCCTTTCTTTAAGTTTTTCCTGCATTCTTTCTCATCTTCTTCTTTTTTCCCGCCAATTTCCTTTTCTGTAAGAAAGTTGAAGTTGTTCAATAAAAGTCCAATTGTTTCCTGGAATCCATTCAGCTTGAGTATAATTCGTGTTCTTATCAATTGAGCACATTTCAGATACATTCCTCACCAAACACCATTTTAGGTTCTGTATCACAACAATTTGGTTTTTCAATTCCCTGTCTTCGTACGGGTAAGACCCTTCTCCTCTTTCTTTATTTTCATTCTCTTTTGTTCATTTCCTTTTACCTTTAATTTTAGATTATGGATTTTTGGAAGATGACAATCATAAGTTTTTAAATCTACTTTTTCTTTCTTTTCTTGCTATTTTGTTAAAACTTTTCCTTTGTGATTTCAAACAAAAAATGAAGCATCAGTAACTAAAACAAATTGTGAAAGAAAGAAATGGAATAAAACCCAATTTTCGACTCACGATTGAATCGGTTAAACCAACCGGTCCGATTAAAGTTTAAAAGCACAAAACAAAAAATTGGTGGGCGCCTCAAGACAAGAATTTTTGCGAACGTACAAGTTTTAGTAAAAGCTACTCCCTCCCTCCGTCCTACTTTGATAGTCCTGTTTTCCTGTTTCGTCTGTCTCAAATTATAATCCACTTTCCAATTAAAAAATATAGTTGTATTTTAATTTTTCTAAAATACCCTTATACAATGTAAATTGTTGTTACTATAAATCTACTCCATTTAATGAGAGTTGATTCTTTTTTTATCATCAATTCAAGTTTCCATAAAGTTGTACTCTAATTAATATGAGAGTATTTTAGAAAAATAGCTACCTAAATTGATTGTTCCAACAAAATTAACTACTTTTTCTTAAATTGTGTGAAAAAAAAAATCAAAACTATCAAAGTTGGACGAAGGGAGTATCAATTTTGAGAGGAACATGCAGGCAAACAAAAAAAAACTCACAACACCACCAAATATTCTTTATTTATAAACAAAGAAATCTAAGTATTACGTGAATTAATAACATAGACAGCTTCTAGCTGCAATTAACAACTAATTCCAAAGGATTAAGATGTGCAGTAGCATAGCACATAAGTGGATGAGCCAAGCCAGCAGATAAACCAGACCCCTCTTCCATTTTTATCTTTTCTCCTCCCTGCACTGTAAAATCAAAGCACTGAACAAGCAGGGCAACTGCTGAATGAACCACTGCTAAGGAAAGTGATGCACCAGGGCACCCTCTTCTTCCACTCCCAAAGGGAAAAATATTGAAATTTTGTCCCTTAATATCCATCTGGTAATCATCATAAGCGCCTTTAGAGCCCACCATGAACCTTTCTGGTTGAAATTCGAGCGGATTGTCCCATGAACTTGGGTCCCTCATAATAGCAAAGACATTGAATGCTACCCTCTCATTAGCCAAGATATCATAGCCGTTGATCTTGCAATCTTCACCGCATCGACGAAATATCAAGGGTGCAGGAGCATGTAGTCTTAGGCTTTCTTTAACAACTGCTTGCAGGTAAAGAAGCTTTGGAACATCAGATTCTTGGACTAGTCTTTTTGATCCCACAACGGTATTGATTTCATCTCTAAGCTGCCGGAACACCTTTGGATGATTTATGAGCTCTGCTAGCGTCCAAGTCAGTGCCACACTTACTGTTTCAGTACCTGCCATGAAGAGTTCCTGTCCATTTTTCGATGAAGCTAGATCTAAATTAATCTCATACTACAAACTTAAGCAAGAGAAAATCAAGAAAAATTTGACAATTATGTTATGCTCCAATTCTATTACAAAAAAAGGTATATATGTACACTGTAGAAGGAGAGAGACTTACCATAAGAAAGGATTTTATGTCAGTTCTACTCAGCTTGACTTCAGCCTTTTTATCCCCGTGAATCTCCAGGAGAATATCCATCATGTCCTTCCTTTCCTTATTAGAGGAGTTCAACTCGTTCTCATGTTCCACCATTATCTTCTCCACCAATGAATCAAACTTCGAGATCAAGGCCTTCACACTCTTCCCATATCCAAACAAATCAAGTTTGCCTATAGGACCAAATAATTCTCCCAAAGCAAATTTGGGCGAAAGCTGAAAAATCTCCTTGACAAACTCCCATAGGCGCCTACCTTCATCCAGAGCAGGCGTGCATCTGGTGCTCATAGCCATCCTGCTAATCACATTATTCGTCGTGGTCATAAGTTCCACTCCCAAATCACAAGCCTTCCTTTCTTCTGAAAAGCCAACAAGAATCTTCAACAACTTCATCATC